AGGACCCCCGAGGACCCTCCTGCCTGGCCATCCAGTACCTTGAGCCTCTTGTCCAGGTAGGCTGGTGACACCCAGCCCTGCCGCGAGGGGCTGGACTTGGTGGGCTTGGTGCGGACCAGCCAGCGCAGTGGGTGGGCGGCATCCAGGACCTCCACATACTGGCCTTCCCGCAGCGCAATGGCGTCCTGCTCGGCCCCCAGGGGCAGGTAGTCGGCGGTGACCACGTAGATATCAAAGATCTGAGGGGGGTGGGGGTGCTGAGGTGGTGGGACCTGGGAAGTGCCAGCCAGGCCTGCCGAGATCTCCAGGGCCAGGCCCCCCAGAGTCACCGTGCACACACAGAACAGCAGGGGTGTGGGAGGCCTCCGCTCACTGCCCACCCCCGACCCCACAGGTCACCACAGCCCCGGTGGCTCCAGGCCTGGGCTGCCTACACTCCGTTACCTGTTCACCGTCACCTCACCCCCAGCCCATCCCAAGCCCTAACAGAGTGCCTGGGACACTGGAGGCCTGACACACATTCTCTGCTGAAGGAATGAAGGAGAGAATGAATGAACCCAACAAACGGCCCTCCAGAAGGCAAGCCTCTGCTGGGCCAGTGCAGAGAAGGCCCTGTTCTCACCAGTTCCTGCCTCCTGTGCACCCTGTGGGTCCCCCTCCCTGGAGTCCGATGGGAGTCCTGCCTCCTGAGCCCCCTCCACCCTGCACCTGTCTTCAGGAGGGCCAGGCTTCTCCCTGCCCTGCTCCCAGAGGGTTCCAGCCGCCTACTTCGCCTCGGGCATCCCCGTCCTCTGACTCTGAGGAAGACTCCTGGACACTGGAGGACGGCCGTGACCGGCCGTGCCGGGGGGACGCAGATGGCGTCTTGGACTCCTCGTCGCTGTCGCCTCCGGGCACCTGCAGCTTGGCTGGGGGTGCGAGGATTACGTCACCCCAGCCTGCCTCTGGCTCTCCAGGGCTCAGGGGCAGGCCAAACACCCACCATGGACACACCCCAGAGACCCTGGGGGTGTGAGGATTACATCACCCCGGCCTGCCTCTGGCTCTCCAGGGCTCAGGGGCAGGCCAAACACCCACCATGGACACACCCCAGAGACCCTGGGGGTGTGAGGATTACATCACCCCAGCCTGCCTCTGGCTCTCCAGGGCTCAGGGGCAGGCCAAACACCCACCATGGACACACCCCAGAGACCCTGGCACCCGGGCCACTGCCCTCACCCTGCGTGATCTTGGCTGATACCATCTCGGTGATCTGGGAGGTCAGTTTCTGCAGGAACTCCTCTGTGCCCACCTCGGCGAGGGATAGGTGGCCCAAGGCCTCCTTGGCAGCCAGAGGCTCTCCTGGGGGTACAAATGCTCTGCTCAGGCGGCTGCATGGCCCTCGGATGTGCAACAAGCACCCCATGCTGCAGGCCCGTCCTGGGCCCTGGGAGCCGATGGTGAACAAAGGCCTGAGGCCTCCCTGGCATGGTGCTGATGTCCAGCAGGGAGATGAGACTGCGGCTGGCAGGGCGGGGGCCGCTGGGAACCCACCAGGATGAGGAGTCACTCTGGCTCATGAGCATCAAGCCAAGGCGTGACCAAGGGGCTGACAACGTCCAGAGACAGGGGACAGTGGATGAGGGGTGCTGGGGACAGCTGGCAGAGGCTGCAGGAGGAGATGTGGGGCCAAAGTGGGGCTGTGCAGCTCTGTTCTCAGTGCCTGACTCCCAGGTGTCTATACAGCCCGCTGGAGGTGAGCTCGTGTTCAGGGCTGGCCCAGGGACCCCATAGGCTCCTGATCCACGGGGATCAGACGTGGCTCCAACACTAACCAAGCCTCAAGTCTAGGCCATGAGAACATGGGTCGGTCCTGGCTAAATGAGCAGGTGTCCTGGGGCTAAGCTGCCCAGGAAGGGCCTCTGAGGCCTGGAGCCACCCCCGGGCAGTCTCCTCCCTGCCCCTGGCATCAGGGGCTCAGCCACCCTGGCCCCTCACAGGCACGCACCCATTCTGATCGTACCTTTCCTCTGCCCTGCAAGGTCAGCCAAACCCACAGGTTCCAACCCCTGTGCTGAGACGGCTGGTGTGGTCCTAAATGGGTGAAGGGAGTGTCCTGAGAGGCCTGGGCTGGACCCCACCGCCCTCCGTCCTTTAAGCTCCTGACAAAAAGAGGGTCTGGGGGCTTCAGGGAAAGGGGCTCCATGCCAGAGAGGCCCCAGGGAAGCCCTCATTTTGCAAGGGGGAAACTGAGGCACAGAGAAGGAAGAGCACTAGCCAAGCTACATGGCCTGCATGGGGCAGAGCCAGGACGCGCTTGGGGACAGGTGGTCTCCCTAGGGGCAGCGCTGTCTGGTCCCCCACTCCTAGAGCACCCTCCCTGACCCAGACCGGACCAGCCTCTAGGGACAGCCCTCACTCACCCCTGCAGGAAAGTGGAAATCAGCGCTTCCTTCACTTTCTCCTGCTCCTCCGCCTTAGGCACTGTCAGGAGGACCGGGCGAGCCATCAGGATGGGACTTCTGACCCCAGCACGTCTGATTCCGGGTTTGGACTGGGTCCCTCCAGAGCCCTGAGCAGGGGCTGGGCCCGAGCCCACCTCCCCAACCCACTCTTGGCCTGTGGTCTCCCTGACAGTGATGGGAGGGGAATGGGTTCTCCTGTCCTCCGAGGGGCTGAGCGAGGCCCAGGACCTGGTGGTGCAGAACCCACAGGGGCCAGGGCCCAGAGAGGACTCTGAGGCTGAAACCCACCGCCACCAGCAGGGTGTGACCCGTCTTGGGGTCTCTTTGGTGCTGTAGGAGAACGAGAAGATCAAAAAGGGGGGGCCCAAAGGGCCCCGGCCCAGATGGTGACGGGCCATGTGCCCTGAGGAGACCCCAAAGCCACCCAGGGCCTACCTCCCACACCCCAGCCCTCACTCCCCACTCACGACCAGAGATGTGCAGGCTGGCGGAGCAGATGGCCTGGCCGGCGGTGTTGCTGGCGATGCACGTGTAGGTGCCCTGGTGCTCCCGGCCCACGTCCAGCAGGACCAGGCTGTGCTGCTGTGCTGAGCTGGCCACAGTGTAGCCCGGTGTGTCGGGACCAATCCACAGCACGCCCCTCTCAGCCGCCTCCCTGAGCCAGTGCACGGTGGGTGCTGGGCATCCTGAGGGCGGGCAAAAGGGTGGGAGATGCACCCCATCAGGAGCAGCCTCTGGAAGTGGAGCCCTTCCTGTGGCCCCCTGGGGGAGATGTGAGTGGAAGGGGGCACCTCTGTCTCATCCCAGGGGTGATCTTTCCATGGCTGAGGGTGGGAAATGCCCTACCTTCTACCTTCACAGAAAAGGTGATGCTGGAGCCCTTCTTCACTTTCTTGGGGGTGAACCTCTCCAGGATTCGGGGTGGCACCAGCTGCTTACGCACATCTGGAGGGCACAGGGCAGCTGCTGGGGACTTGGCACAGCCCCCACCGCCTGCTTCCTGGTCCCCCACAGTGCCTGCAGGCCCCCAGGTGGCTCTCCACAGCCAGCACCTGGACAGCACCACGCTGCTCCATCGGCTGCGCCCTCCCTGAGCCAGCCCATGGCCACTCACATCTCCACTGCAGCCAGCCCTGGGCTCAGGCCCTCAGCACCCACGGCCACCTGGCCGCTCCCTGCCCACCTGGGGCTGCCTCACCTGATGCAGGCTTCTCTTCTGGTTCATCGGGGCCTGAAAGAGGCACTGGAGTCAGACACCTGGCACCCAGGAGCCCTGCCATGGCTCCTGCCCGGCAATCCTACCCACTGTGGTGAGGGAACCCAAGGGCAGCGCTGCCCCCAGGCAAATGTCCTAACCCCCGCCTGAACCCCGGACCATGGAGCTCTGGAACCCCATGCTCGGGTGACGGAGGCAACAGGCTGTGTGGACCAGACCCGATGCCCCATCACCCACCCTCACCCTGCTACGGACTCTGGCCCCATGCTGAACCCAGCACACAACAGAATGCCACTGCTCAGAGCAGCAGGGGACTCCCACCCAGGGCCACGGGGAAAAGCCACAGTGGTGGCGGGACGGGTTTGGGTGAACCTTGGAATGAACTCTCAGTGCTTAGAACTTTTTCAACAATAAGGAAGTAGGGTTCACTAGTCCCACGCTACCACTGTCTCCGGCTGTGTGCGGGTCTACCTAGAGCCACAGGGCTGACTCACTTTCCTGGATCAATTTCAACCTCCAGCCTGCCCATCGGTCAGGACAGAGGGCTGCACACCTCCCTGCAGGACCGACTTCTGGCGGCCTGTGCTGCTCTGTACGAATGGGTGATGGCCACTGACCCCCACTGAGGGCCTGAGGTGGCAGGGTTGCAGGGTGTCAGCCCCGGCCAGGATGCTGGCCAGTGCCCAAGGCTCTGCCCGGGACCCGGGAGCACCCACCTTGGACCAGCAGCCGCGCAGACGAGTAGGCGGCGCCCGTGGCATTGCTGATGTAGGCCGCGTACTGGCCAGCGTCCTCCCGGGTGACCGACATGACCTCCAGGGTGTGCAGGGTCTTCTTGTCAGTCATGCGGATGTGGGCGGATGCGGTCAGGGGCTGGCCGTCTTTGAACCAGTATAACCTGGGAGCTGGGTAGCCTGGGCCACAGGAGGTGGAGTGGTCAGTCTGGGCTACCACCCATGGGCACTGTGCCCTCCAGATGGCAGACAGACCCCACAACACCAGTGACGCCGTGGTGGCCTCCCGCACCCAGGCAGCATGTGGGGGGAGCCCTGCAAGTACCATCGTAAGGGTCTGAAGCCTCAGCCTGTTCTCATATAAATATTAATTTAGAAATGTAGGCACATAGTTATTCCTTTATATAATCATATATAATTTTATGGTTACTTATAAAAATATATACTCAATATAACCTTTAATTTTACTAATGACTTTTGGGTTATGAAGCATGGAACTGAGGTGACACTGTGAACAAAGTGATCCTAAGTCATGATGCCTTAAGCCCTCTGCTACGCCCACGTAAGGGCTACTGGAGGGCGCCTCGGCTGTGTGACAGCGCCAGCACTGGGAAAGCGCCCGCCGTTTAGCAAGCTGGGGAGGAGACGTCCAAATGGCCCAGACGTCTCCTTCCTGGGGAAGTTAGGAGAAAACTCTGCCCCTCCACGCTCTTGTGGCAAGGGCTGACGGCTGTCGGGAGCCCGCAGACATCCGGGGGCTCAACTGTCTCTATGTGAGGCTGTGCTTCAGCGGTCACTTTCCATGTCCACCCTCACGCTCTGCTTCTGCACCTGGTTTCTCTTTTCCTCAGAGGATAAGAATTAATGTCCTTAAGATTTCTGACAAATATGCGAAGAGCGCTGACGCATTAGGTCCGGGGCCCCCGATCTTCAAGACACGTGCCTTACCTGACCCTATCACCGACCACCATTACCCCGCACTACCTACCTGCCCTCTGCTTTGTGCTCAATAAAAGAGCGTCCAGGCACTCGGGGCCACTGCTGGTCTCCACGCTTTGGTTGGCAGTGGACCCCCGAGCCCAAATTCCCCTTATCTCTGTGTCTGTGTCTTTTATTTCCAGTTTCTTGTCTCTGCACCAACAGGGAGGGGCTCACAGAACCCTACAGGGCTGGACCCTGTACAGCAGGATGAGTGACCGCCTGACCCCATGGCCCGGGTCTCCTTTCACTTGTGGCTGACGTGGGACAGCTCCTCGACCTCCATCCCGCCACGGCAATGTCCCCACTCCCTTTCCCTCTCACCTTTCACCTTGAGCTGGAACTTGGCCAGGCGTGTGCCAGGGGCTACCCGGAGGTCTCTCAGCTCCTCTACCACCTGGGGCAGCTGGCCTTCGTCACTGGTGGATTCTGTCCCCTCCTGCTCCCGGCTGGCAGGAGAACAGAAAAGGTGGCAGCCATGAAGCAGGGCGGGAGGGGCGCTGAGGGGCTCGGGCATGGATGACATTGGAAGCCCTTGTTTGCTGACTCAGCGGACAGAGACCACCGGGGTGTGGAGGAAGGCTCCAGGAGTGCATGCTGTCAGCCCAAGCCCGGCCCTCGCCCAGCACCGTCATTCCCCAACAGGCCCTGCAAGGTCAGTCCGGGGCACAGCCCACCTCTGCAGCCCCTACCTGGACAGGTAGCCTTGGGCACTGAAGTAGGACGAGGTCTCCGTGGCATCTGCCGCAGTTTCGTAGTCTGTGCTTGTCACTGAAGAAGGAAAGGGAGCTAGAGCAACGCCTGCCACCCCACCTGCCCCAGCACAAGCTCCTGCACCAGGGTGGCGTCAGCCCTCAGAGGTCCTGACTATTCACACAGCCCTGCCTGGGAGCCACTTAGACTTGGGAGCTAGGAAGTCACGGGGGGAACAGCGGCATCGCTGCCTCTCCACCCCGGGCTGTTACCGGCCCCATTCCTCAAGGTCTCTAACCAACTACAAGCCTGTTTGACACAGCAAACTAAATACCGGATGGTCCAGAGGCCTCAGAAGAAACAGTGATAGTGGTGGAACCTTCCAGATAAATCCTACTAGGGAACAAGGGGATGGAGAGGAACAGCCCTCAAACCGTTCTCAGCACACTGACACAGGGACAGAAAACCAAACACCACAGGTCCTCACTCATAAGTGGCAGCCGAACAATGAGAACACAGGGACACCGGAAGGGGCACATCACACACCAGGGCCTGTCGGGGTGGGGGGCTAGGGGAGAGACAGCATTAGGAGAAATACCTAATGTAGGTGACGGGTTGATGGGTGCAACAAACCACCATGGCACGTGTATACCTATGTAACAAACCTGCACGTTCTGCACATGTACCCCGGAACTTAAAAGAGACACAGTCCTCAAAATCAGCTGCTGGGACTTGTGTTTCTAGTCAAGATGGAGTGACTGGGGCTGGACTTACCCTCTCTTACGGAATAAATGTTTGGGTAGCCCCCAAAGACCATATACTGAAATATTAGCCCCCCCCATGGATGAAGAGGTGGGCCCTTGGGAGGTGGATAAGGGTGGGGCACCCATCAATGGGATTACTGCTCTTATAGAAGGGACCCCAGAGAGCTGCCTCTCCCTCCTTCCCTCATGTCCTTGCATGATGTAGTTTTTCTTCTGTAATAAATTTCTAATCGTCTTCTCTAACCTGCTATTAATCCTATCCATTGGAAGTTCTATCATCTCTAGAAGTTCTACTTGGGTTTTTAAAATATATTCTATGTCTCAACATCACTAATCATCAGGGAAATGCAAAGCAAAACCACAATGTGATACCGCCTCACTGCTGCAAGGATGGCCGTCATCAAAATCCAGTAGATGTTGGTATGGAGCAGTGATCAGGGAACATGTCTACACTGCCGGTGGGCATGTAAACCAGTGCAGCCTCTATAGAACAGTGTGGAGATTCCTTAAAGAACTAAAGGTAGAACTGCCATTTGTTCCAGCAATCCCACTACTGGGAATCTACCCAGAGGAAAATAAGTCATTACTCAAAAAGGATACCTGCACACGAATGTTTATAGCCGCACAGTTCACAACTGCCAAACTGTGGAACCAGCCCAAATGTCCATCAAGCAACGAGTGGATAAAGAAACTGTGGTGTGTATCTACACGATGGAATACTACATAACCACACAAAGGAATGAATTAACAGCATTTGCAGTGACTTGGATGAGACTGGCGACTATTATTCTAAGTGAGGTAACCCAGGAATGGAAAAACCAACATCACATGTTCTCATTCACATGTGGGAGCTCAGCTGTGAGGATGCAAAGGCCTAAGAATGATGCGGTGGACTTTAGAGACCGGCAGGGGAAGAGGGGGAGGGAGGCAGGGGACAAAGGGTGACGAACACGGTGCAGTGTATGCAGGTCAGGTGATGGGTGCACCAAAGCCTCACAAATCACCGCTGAAGAACTGACTCATGTAACCAAACACCACCTGTACCCCAATAACTTATGAAAAATCTTGAGAGATACAAAAAATTAAAATAAAATAAAATACATTCTATGTCTCTTCTTTTCTGTTTTTTGAGACAGCGTCTCACTCTGTCACCCAGGCTGGAGTGCAGTGGTTCAATCAGAGCTCACTGCAACCTCAACCTCCCAGGCTCAAGTGATCCTCCTGCCTCAACCTCCCAAAATGCTGGGATTACAGTCACGAGCCACTGCACACCAGGCCAGGGCAGTGATTCCTTAAAGACAGGAAACAAGGATGAGCCCTATGATTGCTCCAGTTTCCTGCCTTGAATTTGTAGGGCCAGGGAAGGGACACTGAGGCAGAAGCAGACTCCCTGAGTTGAGAAGATGAGCTCAGAGACCTGAAAGACTAAGGCAGCTAGAGTTCACAGACAAAGTGCTGGGGAAAAGAAGGTTGTACAGAGAAAGGACCTGCCTCAAGGACTCGGCAGAATACTGACTAGCATTTGCATGTGAGGAAAGACGCACCTGAAATGACGAGGGAAACAGTACCAGGAATGGTGCCTGGCTCCACCAGTCAGACTGGAAAGATTCCTAATTCAAAGGGCACCGACTACTGGGGAAAGTTCTTGCCTCGGTAGTGCGAGGTGATTAGCCCTAGACTGAGCACTGCTCTGGAGCAACCAAAGAAATCATAAAAGCCAGGCCCCATGAATAAAATCCCATCCAAGTTTCTTCACTGTATCCCAGAACAACGCTCAAGAAGATCTGCAGAAATACAAAACATCCCAACAGGGTAAAGCTTACAATGTCAGACATTCAATTAAAGATCACCAGACATGCCAAGAGACTGGAAAAGATGACCGTAGCACAGAAAATAATCCACAGAAACCAGCCCAGAACTGATGCAGATGTTAGAACTGGTAGAGGAGACATGAAAACAGGTATTAGAATTGTATTCTCTGCATTCAAACGTTAGGTAGAGATGCAGAATATATTTTAAAAGACTCAAGTAGAACTTATAGAGACAAAAAATACAATGAATGAAATTTATAGGATGGATATTACAGAAGAAAAGATAGTGGACAAAAACACATGAATAAAAACCAGGCAACACTCTCAAGAAAGTAAAAAGACACCCACAGAATGAGAAAATATTTGAAAACTTTTTATCTGATAAGGCTCTAGTATCAAGAATATATGAAGAACTCCTATAACTCAAAAATAAAAGACAAATTACCCAATTTTACAACGTCCAAAGGATTTGAATAGACATTTCTCCAGAGATATACAAATGGCCAAGAAGCACATGAAAACTTGTTCGGTATCATTAGTCACTAGCGAAATGAAAGCAAATTGACACAATGAGGTACCCCTTCACATCTGTTAGGATGGCTGTAACAAAAGATGAACAAGAGCAAGTCCTGGCAAGGGTGTGGAGAAACTGAAACGCCTGCACGTGGCTCGTGGGAGTGTAAAATGATGTGGCTACTGTGGGAAAGGCTGGTAGCTCCTCTAGGAGTTCAGCCAGGTTGCCACATGACCAAGCAATTCCACTCCTAGGTGTATACAAGAGAAAACTAAAAACACGCCCACACAAACACTCATACACAAACTACACAAACGTTCACTGCAGCACTGTTCATAACAGCCAAAACCTCCGACGGATAAATGCCACCCAATAAATGCATCAATACTCCACATACCATGGAATATTTTTCATCCACAAAAATGTGTATGATAGTACAACACGCCACTACATGGATGGACCTTGTCAACAGTATGCTCAGTGAAGGAAGGCAGGCACACATGGCCATGCATTGTAGGCTTCTTCTCACAGGAAATGTCCAGAATAGGATAACCCATAGAGACAGAAAGTAGATTAGTCATTTCCAGGGGCTGGGGGAATGGGAGAACTGGGAACAACTGCCAATGGTTTCTTTTCAGGCATGATGAAAATGTTCCGGAATTAGATATTCCAGAACATATTATTAGACCGAAGTGACGGTTGCACAACCTTGTGAATACACTAAAACCCACGAAATTGTACACTGTTAAATTATCAATTTCATGGTGTGCAAATACTTAAAAAGTTTTAAGTCTTTATACAAAGACAAGTCATGTACAGAGAATCAGTGATAAGAATGACATCCTGATTCTCACTGGAAACAATGCAAGCTTTAAGACAGTGGACCACCGTCTTTAAAATATGGAAAGAAAAAACTGTCCTAGGAAAAATATCTTTCAAAAACAAAACTGAAGCAAAGACATTTTCTGACACACCAAATCTGAGGGAATTCCAGCATACCCACAATACAAGAAAAGGTAAAAGATGTCCTTGGGCAGAAGGAAAATGTATCAGAGGGAAGCCTAGATCTACGCAGCAGAATGAAGCGCTCAGAGACGGAACTATGTGGATAAACATGTAAGTTCTTTTCTTATTTAAGATCATTGACTTGTCTTTAATAATTTTTTTTATTTTGAAATAATTGTAAATTCACACACAGTTCTACGAAGCGATACAGAGATTCCATTTATTCTTCATCCACCTTTCTCCAACATCAGCATCTCACCTAACTATGCTACAGCATCCAACCAGGAAACCAACACTGATGCAATCCATTGCTTTTCTTGAGATTTCAAAAGTTTTACAAGAACATAATTGAGTGTATGTTTATATATTTAATTTCACGTCATAAGATGCAATTTTATTGTAGTTATTATTCATCAATAGTTCCTTTTTATGGCTGAGTAGTAGCATTCCATGGAACAGATGTACGTAAGTGAATGGTTTAACCACTCACCCAGGAAGGACATTTGGGGTGTCACAGCACTTGGCTCTGTTAGGAATGTAAGTCCTATGAACATTTGAGGGCAGGTTTTAGTTTGAATGAAATCTTTTCACTTCTCTGGTATAAATGCCAAAAAAAGAAATTGCTGGGTTATATGGTAAGCACACGGTTAGTTTTGTAAGAGGCTGCCACAGTGTTTTCAGAGTGGCTGGCCCATTTTACTCTCCCCCCAGGAATGAATGAGTGACCCAGTTTCTCCGTATCCTCACTTGCATTTGGTGCTATCCCCATTTTTAATTTTAGCCGTTCTGGTGGGTATGCAGTGACAGCTCATCGGGGTATTAACGTGAATATCCCTAATGGCTAATGACGTCACACATCTTTCATGTGCGTATTTACTTTCCGCATGTCCTCTGTGCCTAAGCTGTTTTTACTCACAACACATCTAATGCCAACTGGATGCACAACACATCCATTCCATTCTGACGCTAACTGCCCAAAGGTAGCACACACCCCAAACATTAACCGGATCGGTCTCACAAGGCTGTCCCCACTGCAGATGCCAGCTGTAAATCCCGGACTGCCACCCACACTTCTGACTGGATGGCTATGAACTGGAGGTTCCCACAACCCTCCTCCTGTGTTGGATAATTTGCCACAATGGCTTGCACAACTCAGAAAAGTGCTTGACTCACTACTAGTGGTTTACTGTGAAGGATATAACTCAGGAACAGCCTCACGGAAAAGACACACAGGGCAAGGTGTGAGGGAGAAGAGCGGCACTTGGCGCCACTGTCCTGGCACCTCCACGCGTTCACCCCCCCGAAAGCTACCCAAGCCTCTTAGTGTATGGGTTGGTGCGGAGGCTGCAGCACACAGACATGATAGATTCCTTAGCCTCCAGTGTCTCTACCCTCCCGAGAGAATGGAGGTAGGCCTGAAAGTTTTGGGCTTCTAATAAAGGCTTAATCTTTCTGGAAAGCAGCCCTCATCCTGAAGCTACCTGGGGACCACCAAAAGTCACCTTATTAGAACAAAAGACGCTCCTGTCCCCCAGGAAATTCCAAGGGATTTAGAAGCTCTGCATAGGAACTGAGGACAAAGGTCGGGTAAATGCTTCTCACAATACCACAGTGCCATGAACCATCCGCCACAGCCCGGGTTTCTCCTGAGAGGCTTCCTCATCAAGCCATTCGACAGCCTTCAAAAGGGACCCTGGGGTAGGCTGGACTCACCCTTCTTGACCCACTCACCCCACTCCATGAGGTCCACTTCCAAACCTTCCTGGGCCTCCATCCCAGCCAGGATGCCTCTCACAGAGATGACATCCCTCAACCCCCTACCCCAAGGGGCTGCAGACGGGGGACCTGTCTTGGCCTGAGCTCCCAGAGAGCTTTCCATCAGCCACAAGACACTGAGGCCCCAAATCCTGCCTGGCCTGAGATGAATGTTCTCTCAACCATCCTCAAGCCGAACTCAGGAGCCCCTACACCACCAACCTGGAGACGCCAAATCAGAGAGCAGCACTCACAGTCCACACGGAGCTCGGCCTTGGTGGAGGAGACCCCCATGCTGTTCTCAGCCAGGCAGCGGTAGACGCCCATGTCTGCTGGCACCACGGCTGTGATGATGAGCTGATGGCCACCCTGTTGGTCTTCATTAATCATGTAGTGGTCATTCTCCTCCAACAACTTCCCATCCTTGAACCAGCGCACACTGGGCATGGGCTGACCTGTCACCACGCAGTCAAAGCTCACAGGATATCCATCCTGCACTTCTTGGTTCTGCAACTCGGTCAGGAACACCGGGGCTGGGAAAGATGGCTGAGTTAGCCCCAGGGAACAATGATCATGTCCGGCTGCCACATACAAGCAAGTCACCACCAGAGGAACGGTTTGACACACATGACGTACAGAGCAATCATTCACATGGGAGCACTCGGAGACCCTAACAGCTAAACAGAATGGTGTCTTCACCCGCTAAGCCTCTCTCTCTTCCTTGTTCTCTAAGAATTCTCTTTGCCAGCTTGCTTCCCAAGTTACTTTGAGGCAAAAGGGAGAAGGGGCTGGAAACAGGGAGGAAAAGGGAGGTAAAGCAAAGATGAAGACTGTGTGGTCTGTAAGTCCAGGAGGAGCAGGTGAGGGACTCAAAGTGAGGGGGAGCTCAAAACTGGAGAGCAGTTTCAAGAAATAACATGTGGGATATTCATCACACCCTCCTTAACATTCCTAGAGAGATACAAGTAAATAGGGAAACGGCTTTTCAATGACTCCTAGATGCTTGAATGGGAAATGGTATGCAGACCGGACCATGAGGAACGCAGCATTTTATACAGGTTACATTTCAGAGTCTCATTGAAAAAATAAAATTCTAGGGAGTGAGTACGCACAACCTTTGAACAACAGGCACTTGAACTGCTTGGGTCCACTTATACACGGATTTTTTTCAACCAAATGTGGATCAAAATATATAGCACTTGCAGGATGCGAAACCCTGTACAGGGAGGGCTGACTTTTCAGTGCACAGGTTCTGCAGGGCTCATCTGGGGACTTGAGTATGTGTGGACTTGGGTACGCATGAGGGTTCTGAAATCCATCCTCTGTGTATACCAAGGTACAACTGGCTTTCACATCATTTCACACATGGGAAAGCTAAGCAGTTTCTCCCAAAGCACACAGCTAGTAAGAGACAGAGTTGGAGTTCAAATAGATTTTAACCTCTATTTAACCTCAAAGTCAGAGCTGTTCATACCCAGTGGGCTGTACCTGCAAAGAGCCCAATGGTGGGCACAGGTAACCCCTTGAGCCTGCAGCAGACTCTGGCCACGACTAGCCCGGCTCCTTCTCCCCTGCCTCTGCCTGCCTCTCCACCCTGGCTCTGGACCCCAGACCGAGGCTCATGCAGACTCACCGGCATCAGAAGTCAGCAGGCTGGGCGCTGGCTCTGGAGGCGCCCCAGGTGTAGGGGCCTCTTTGCGGATGCACATCTCCACCTTCTGGGGCCCCTGCTCCACAAGGTTGATCTCCACTCCAATGCCCAGCGTGGCAAACATCTCCTGGAAGCGGGTTACCGCCTGGCGGGCCTCAGTGAGTGCCTCAAAACGGATGCGGATGAAATGCTCATCTTCGTGGTACGTCTGCCAGTCTGCGGGCTCCTCTGGCTCTGCAGGGCCCTCGTCTGCACTCAGGAACAGCTCCTCGTCTGAAACCTCAGCCGGGCTCTTGGTGCGGAAGAGCCGGTGCAGCCGCCGGGCGGCCCGCCGGAAGGTATCATCCAGCTCACCGCTGGAGGAGCTCTCAGCCTCACTCTCTGTCCCACTGACCACCACGCAGGCACTGTGGGCTACCTGGCCAAACTTGTTGCTCACCTGGCAGGTGTAGTGGCCAGCATCAGCACGGCCTAGGCCAGTAATCAGCAGAGAGCAGGTGCCGTCCCCAAGCTGGTCAATGTGGTGGTGCCGCCCATCAGTCAGCTCCACGCCATCCTTCAGCCAGCGGGCTCGCACATCTGCCTTGCTGGCCACGACACACTCCAGCTGCAGGGCATCCCCCACCTGTGCCTCAGTGTCCCCAAATGTGTGGGAGAACACGGGCCCTTCCTGCTGCTTCATCTCTTTCCGAACCTTGTAGCCCTTAAAGGCGGCCTGGATCTTCACAGCTGCCTTGTCCATTGAGGGATCACCCAGGTCTTTGGTGCTCAGGTCTCCCAGTGGTGGGCGCACAGCAGCCAGTGGCTCCTGCTGCTCCTGTGGCTTCACAGAGGGGGCTCCTGGGGCCCCGACCTGTGGGCACAGAGCCTGATGTCATGGTGAGATAGGGAAACTGAGGCCAGAAACAGGGCAGGACTAGCACGGGATGCATGGCGGGGACAGCTCCAGGTCTCGCTCCAGTATGCCGTTTTTCCTCCTACCAACTGGACCCACACTAGCTTCAACTGACCTAGATGTCCGACAGCACCTCCCAAAAGGCAGACCCACTTCCTGGAAATCACTTGACACAGTCACCCAGACAGGGATGAACAGGGTTGTGAAGATCACCATGAATAGGCCAGTTCCAACTCTTTAGGCAAAAGTTTTAACAGTCAGGCAGGTATAGGACTGGGTGGGTGCAGGGAGGATGGAGAGATACACCGATGAACAGAGGGTTGAATGGGAGAACAGGTGTCTGCATGTATGGGTGGGCAGGTGGCTGGTGGATGAGTGAATGGTTAGACAGATGGTGGTATGGGTGGATGAGTGGGTAAACAGGCTGGCAGATAAACAGACGAGCAGGTGAACAAGTGCAGGAATAGATCATGGACGAATAGTGGATGGATAATAAACAGCAGATGAATGCAGTTGTACCGTTGTTATGGTGGGTAAACAGGATGACAGATAAATCAATAAACAGGTGAACAGGCACAGGAGTGGCTCATGGAGAGCAGATGGATGGATGAATGGAAGTATGCTGGGTGGATACATGAATGGACAGTGGGTAGACAGATGCAAGTCAGAGAGAACGATGGATGAATAGATGAAAAGAAGGAAGGATGGATGCATGCATGGCTGGACAGATGGAAGGATGATAGATGGATGATGAATGGATACAGGCATGGATGGACAGATGGAAGGATGACGGATAGATGAATGGACAGACGGTAGGACGATGAATAGATGATGGATGGATGAGTACACAGATGGCAGATGGGTGGATGGATGACTGATGGAAGGAAGAGTGTGTGCATGGATGGATAGATGGAAGAAAGGAAGGAAAGATGAACATATGGATGAACAGATGGCAGGTGAATGAATAGATGAAAGTAAAGGTCTGGTTCAAGTTGGTGTCGAACATGAAAAGAAAAGAAAAAAAGTAAAAGAAAATAGACACATAAGTAGATGGGTGGATTAAAGGAAAAAAGAATGAATGCATGAATGGATGAATGAATAAAAGGAAGAATGGAAACATAAATGGATTAAATGGAAGGAAAAATAGATGCATGGATTGAAGGATGGATGGTGGATGGACAGAAGAGAATAAATGCATGCACTGATGGATGGCTCATGTATGGGTGGATGGAAGGATGGGTGGATGATGAATAGATGAAAGGAAGAAAAGACAGAAGCATGAGTGGATCGGTGACGGATGGAGGGATGGATAATGAATAAACAGATGAAAGGAAAGAAAGACAAATGTATGATTGGGTGGATGGTAGAACGATGTAAGGATGGAAAGATGAATGCATGAATGGATGGATGGCAGATGGATGGATGGACACATAGATGAATGAATAGTGGATGGGTGGATGGAAGGAAGGATGGGTGGATGCAGAGACAAGTGGATGAATGGTGGATGGATGACGAACAGATGAAAGGAAGGAAAGACAGAAGCATGAATGGATTGGTGGTGGACGGGTGGATGGAAAGATGGATGAATGGATGGATGATGGTAGACGGATGACGAATAAACAGATGAAAGGAAAGAACAGATGTATGAATGGATGGATGGTAGAAGGAGGGAAGGATGGAAAGATAGATGCATGAATGGATGGATGGCAGATGGATGAGTGGAAGGATGGATGATGCACAGGTGGATAAATGGTAGATGGGTAGGTGGAAGGAAGAATGGATGGATGCACGGATAGGTGAATGAATGGTAGACGGATGCATGAATAGATGGATGAATGGTGGATGGACGCATGGATGGATGGTGGACGGACAGATGCATGGATGGATGGTGGACGGACAGATGCATGGATGGATGGTGGATGGACAGATGCATGGATGGGTACATGGAAGGAAGTAAAGGTGGATAAATGGATGCATGGATAGATGGATGAATGGTAGATGAGCAGATGAATAGAAGAAAAAATGATAGATGAATAGATGCATTTATGGGTGGATGAATAGTGGATGCATGGATGGATGGATGGAGGGATGGAAGGATGGCGAAGGTCTCAGACCTCTCCTTGCAGGCCAAGTTGGGGTGCTCACCTTGCTGACCAGTGGTGACATGCCTGGCCTCCCCGCCTTCTTGAGGTAGGCGACCAGGGAAGGGGTGCCTGCCCGGGACTCGTCATCAGAGCTGGTGTGTGAAAGGTCAGCCTCTCCGGTGCGTGCCAGCTCATCAGCCGTGGAGTAGCCTTCGGAGAAGTCAGGTGCCACCTCCTCTGCCTCCTGGGGCAGGCGCTGCGAGCGGCCATCCTCCTCAGGCAGCTCGCTGATGGAGTCCAGCGTGGGCTCACGGCTCATGCGACGCTTTCGAGCCAGGGCCTCCCACAGCAGGTGCAGGTCACCCTCCTGAGCTGCCTCGGGGGGCAGGCTGGGCTGCGGAGGGCCCTCATCCACAGAGGCTGGGCTCAGCGCCACTGAGGAAGGCAGGAGACGGGTCAGTGGGCTACGACAGAGCTAACACCCCAGACCCACCTGGGCTGCTAATCAGCATGTGGCTGGTCTGTGGCCTTGCTAGGCCTCTCTGCCCACCTGGCACTGGCTACTTCAGATGGCACAATCTTTGCAAGTCTCAGAGCCTCTGAGCCTCGGCTCTCCCACTTGGAGTGGGGCCTCAGTCTACCTCCCTGCACAGGACATGTGATGCCCGGAACAGAAAAGGACTCTGCAAAGGCAAATTGGGCTGATTTGAGCCCTTCTAACCCTGCTTCTGGGATACAGCACCTAGACTCATGGGAGTGCTGGCTGCCAGGCAGAGGGGCTCAGGCTCAGAGTGCAGGGGACGGGCCTCAGAGGGTGGGGTGGCTTGGAGCACCAGGAGTTGCAGGGAGTTCAGAATACAGGGGATGTTTGTGTACAGGGGCCCAGAAGCTTAAAGGGACCAGAACAGGTGAACCAAGTGTTGCACCAGCCCGGACCTGCTCAGGTGCAGTAGGCTGTCCTCGGCCGTCGAGGCTCTGCACGTGGGGTTTGCACATCTCCCTACTGAGCCTCAGTCTCTCCCACGTGGCGGGGTCCTCAAGAGGACCCTCAGCCCTTCCCTGAGAGAGCCTGTGAGAAGGCGGGCAAACTGCACCCCCACCCAGAGCCCCCCACCCTGGAGCTGGGAGGACAGGGCGGACGCACCCTGGAAGGTAGCAGCCTCGGGGCAGGTGGAGTCCTGGGCCAGACCACAGCGGTACTCGCCCTCGTCTTCTGCCGTGAAGCCCCTGATCACCAGCATCTGTCGCCGACCCTGGGAGACCACCTCGAAGTGCCCGCTGGGTTGGATGTGCTCCGTCCCTCTGTGCCAGACAACCTCGCCAGCCTCAGCGGCCACCTCAAGCTCCAGACAGACATCCTCACCAGCTGCCACCTGCCGGCTCTCAAGAGCTGAGGGCTGGGGACGCACAGGCTTTGGTGGCTCTGCTGGGAACAGTGTCCATGGAGGAGGACAGGCCCCATCAGCAAAGATGCACCCAGAGCGCCGGCCCTACCCCGAGGCCCCCCTCCCTCCTCCAGCTTGTGGAGGCTGTGAACTCCCCAGGTCCCAGCGTAGCAACTCACCAAGCTGCACAGTCTGGGGCAGGTGCACTGGCTCCCCGGCGCCCGCAGGGCCCACGGCTGCCACACGGAAGCGGTAGGTCTCCCCGGGGGCCAGGCCATCCACGACACACTCAGGTCCAGGCACCAGATCGTGGCATAGCCGCCACTGGCCTGTGGCCCCCTCCTTCACCTCCACGCGGTAGCCACAGAGACCACCGCCTCCATCGCTCGTGGGAGCTGCCCAAGACAGTGTCACAGCGTGGCCACTGCGAGCCACCACCTCAGCATCCTCTGGGGGCTCAGGGAGGCCTGGGGGAAAGGGGGACCGGTCAGGCGACGGCTCCCTGTTGGCACAGACAGCCCCTCTGGAGGCCACTGGGCTCTGTACTGCCTGCAGGTGGCCGCACCCTGAGGCTCCGAGCTGCTGTGCCAGTGGCCCACGTCTCAGGGAGTGCGGGCTGCTGCCCAGGCCCCGTGGCGGCACACCTGCGTATCCCATGGAGACTGCCTGGAGCCACCCGGCGTGGAGAGCCCCCAGCAGTCTCTGGGGCCAGAGCCCCTCCTACCTCTGGTCTGCCCAGAGCTGGGCTCAGATGTGCACTGGGGGTGGGGGGAGGTGAGGAGATGGGGCAGGATGAGGGGACCTTGGCCTCAGGAGCCTACAGGGTGGTGGGCTCATGCATGGTTATGCCCGGCCAAGGGCAGCTTCCCAAACTCCCACGGTCAGGCCCCTATCTTCAGGCAGCCCAACCAGAGGGTGTGGAGGGGGCAGATGCTGCAGAACCCTGCCTGGGACGCCCCAGACCGACCTGCAAGGGAGGGAGCAGGGAGCTCGCCCACCACCCACCCAGCACGGTGAGCCACGCAGAGGCCACGGCGTCGCGGCAAGCGAAGGTGACCTCCCCGGCGTGGTGGGGCTGGGCACCGCACAGCAGCAGGGCGTGGTGACTGCCGTCGGCAGTGACCATCCAGTCAGCATCATCTGGCTGCACCGCAGCGCCGTTGATGTACCAGGATGCCTCTCCCACCGGCACCGCCTCACTGAGCGTGCAGGTGAAGCGGGCCTGCGCGCCGGCCGGGACCGCCGCGTCCTTCAGCGGCTCCAGGATCTCCAGGCGCCAGCCTGCGGCCATGCAGGGGAAGGGGTGTGAGGACGAGGGCCTGAGCTTGTGCTGGCCTGGTGCCTGGGCTTCTGACCAGCCTGGCCGGTGCTTGGGCTTCCGACCCTCGCTTCGTCACATTTGCGTGGGTGGGAGGGGTCTGGGAGACCGAAGCTCCCTACCTGTGGCCCCAAGAGCCCCTCAAGTGAGGGCAGCCCAGCCTCCCGCGGGGACACCTCTGCTTGGCCCCCAGCCCTGCTCCGTCCTTCCTGCCTTCAACCCAGCCTCCTGTGGGTCCCAGAGACCAACACATCCCCTCCCAGCTCTGAGGCACCTCTTGTCTCAGCACAGGACGCACGCACCGTGCCACCCCTCCTGGGCCCTGGGCCGGGGGCTCCTATCCACTGCGGAGCAGGTGGCTCTGGGCCTCAGGTGGAAGGAGCAACCCCTGGCGAACCCCGTCCCTCGTGTCGCTCCCTTCTTCCGCCCTCCCCACAGCCCCAGGGCCTCCGCCCCTGATGCCCCTCTGCTGCCGGAGCCCCCAGTCCCAGCCCTCTGCAGCCTGCCCGCCCACCGCAGCCTCTAGTGGGAGGGATCCTGCCTGCCCCGCACCGACACCGCGCAGTCACCTCGGACCGTGAGGAACGCAGAGGTCACCATGTCCCCAGCCAGGAAGGTCACCCGGCAGCTGTCCTGGGGCCGCAAGTTTTTGAGAAGCAGCAGGTGGCGCAGGCCATTCTCGAAGTAGACCACCTCGGCATTCTCCGAGGTGCGCACGGGTTCGTCGTCCAGCAGCCAGGTGTGGGCGGCCACCTCGGGCTGGGACAGCTGGCACTCAAACAGCGCCTCGCCGCCCTCCAGCGCCTCCACATTCTCCAGCCCCTGCACCACCGTGTTCTTGGCTGCAGGGAGAGAGAGTCTCAGACCAGTCTACACTTCCAGCGTCCCCACGTCCCCGGGGAGAGCCCTGAAAACTACAAAAAGCCAAACAAAATGCCCCTTCCCTGAGGCTACGTGGAGGGGGGCACTCAGCGTCCAGGGCATGGCACTGACCACCTCCACGCCACGCCCTGCTCACTTTGGCACTGGGCTCCTGACCTCACAGGTGAGAAACCTCACAGGTGTTTATGAGACTAGAAACTCGCCAACCGCACAACTGGGCTCAAACGCAGACATGAGGCTCGAGCTGGGCTTTACTCGCCAGGGCCCTGCTGCAGCTTCAGGTCTGGGAACAGCCCTTTCTCCGCACCCCAAACAGAGCTCCCAGACCTGCTGCCTGGCCACTGGGATGCCTTGCTCAGACTCACACCAACCAGAGACCTCCTCCCAAGTCCACTGCCCTCCGCTCTCCCCTCCCTCTCTAATTATCCTGTGGGTTCACGTCTAGGAGTCTCAAATTTGGCCACACACTCCTCATGGAAGCCACAAGCCCAGCAGCTGTGCGCGCCCTGCCTGCCCACAGCTCAGCTCTGGTGCAGCGAGCCTGCCACCTCCAGGGCCTGTTGCCACCTGTCCGAGCCACCTACGTCCCAGCACTACCAGACACCGCCTGTCATTCCTCTGTCACTGTGTGGCCCAAGCTGTGCCAAAGCGACCCCGGGCCTGGGGCTGCCCCCCAGGCGGCCTCACCTTGCACTTGCAGCAGGGCCACTACGCGGGTGCCCGCAGCCTCACAAGAATAGATGCCACTGTCACAGGGCAAGGCCGGCCTGAAGGTCAGCCTGGCCACGTTCCAGTCCTGCTCTATGATGACACGGCGCCCATCCGCACGCACCTCCCGCTCGTCCGTCTTCCACGTGGCCTGCACAGGCCGTGAGTACTGGCAGAGGAGCTCGGCCGAGCCGCCCTCCTCCACAGCCAGGTCCTGCATGGCACTGACCACCTCCACCACAGGATCTGTCGGCCAACATGCCGGATACACGTCAGCCCCCATGGCTGAGCCTCCGCAGCCTTCCCTCCCTCTGCTGTCAGCGTCAGCGGCTTCAGTGGCAGCAAGCGCAGAGCTGTGGCAAGCAATGGCGGGGCAGTGACCGCCAGGCACATGGCCCAGGGAAGGGGGCCCACCCATCCACTGCAGACACGCCTTACCCCCACCCATGGCAGATAGCACTGTTGGGCTTGCTCTCTTTCCCGGTGGGCCCCTCCTGGTCCCTTTTGCCCCTACTTCCCTCTGGCCCTGGGCACACTACCCCAAGGGACACACAGCCCCCAAAGTCCCCCTCTCCAAATGTCCTCTGACCCTGGCTCAGGAGCCAGAGCCCCAGCCCAGCTCGCTCCTAATGCCATCTCTCTTGGGGTCCCCGTCCCATCTCCACCTGTCCAAATCCTACTCCACAAATGACTGTTCGCCCCTGGGACCCGGGTGAACCTTCCACATTTTCTATGAGGGTGTACAGGGGGCAAAGGCACCATGTGAGTCACTGGGAGGGGCTCCTGTATGGCCAGCTCTTTCCCAGAAGGGCACAAAGCCAGCCTGAGCTCACAGCGGGGGAAGCAGGTGCGAGCAGGGGCAGGCTGCGCAGGGCTGCTCTTGCCTCCACAAGGCACTGGGTTTCACGGCTGGGCACGTGCAGCCAGCAAGGTGGTGACCCGCAGGGCACAGACTGGTGTCCAGCTATACCAGTCCCTAAGCCCAGGCTTCTCACCCACCCTGCATGCCCACCTGTGCCGCTGCAGGCAGACAGCATGCATAGAGTGGTGCCCAGCCTGTGACCCTGGGGGCCAATCCCTGATCCCAGGAGGCTGCAGGAAGCACACAAAAGTGCCAGCATGGCGGGGATTCCCATCGGCCAATACCTTTGATCAACAACTTGGCCATGGAGACCAGGGCCCCTGCGCGGAAAGTGATGGTGCCGGAGTCGGCCACCCCCAGGCCTGAGAGCGTGAGGGAGTGAAAAGTCCCTTCACGCACAGCGATGGCGCTTTGGGGGCCATCCTGTAGCAGGGTCCCATCCAGCCACCAGCGGGCCTCCGGCCCACCCGCGTGAGACACCTCACAGGAGAACGTGGCCACCTCCCCCGCGAAGACATCCACATTCTGCAAGCCACGTACCAGGCACGGCGCTGCCTCTGCACAGGAGGGTAAGAAGAAGGGCCAGGCTAGGGCACCCTGGAGTCCACAGGACTGGGCCACTTTAGGGTTCACTGGTGTGGGGGTGTGGCACTAGATTGGGTCTCTGTCCTCGGTTCCTGGCACAGAGGTTCTAAAGCCCTCAGAAGTCCCTGAGTGTTCACAGTGTGCTCCTTTGACTACACCTGAGTTTATGTTAATGAGGTGGCTCAGGTAGGGGTCCTGGACAGCATCAGAATGGGCCTTTAGAAAGGCCAAGTGTTTAGAGGGTTGGAAGTTTCCCACTGTCCCTCCTCTAGGACATGGAGAGGGGGTCAGAGATGATGCTCTATGAAAACTCTGAATGAGATTTGGTGCGTCCCCAGGTTGGTGAAGGCGTGGAGAGTTGGGGGCATGGCACACCCACAGAGGACATGGAAGGTCTTTGCCCTTTAAATCTTTTCTACACGGCTGTTCCTGAGCTGTATCCTTTATAGCAGCTGCTCAATACAAGTGTTTCTATGAATTCTGGGAGCTGTCTTAGCAAGTAAACCAAACTCAAGGAGGGGTAGTGGGAACCCCATTTCACAGCTGTTCTGTCAAAAGTATGGGTGGCCTGGGACTTCCCACTGGCATCTGAGTGAGGGCAGTCTTGTCGGACTGAGCCCTTAATCTGTGAACTCTGACTCTAACTCCAAGTAGAAAGCATCAGAATTGAACTGAATTGTAGACAGCCAGTTGCTGTCTGCTAGAGAATCGCTTCATGTGTGGCCCCCAGACATCTGGTCAGAGTGTTCTGTGCTGAGGGAATAACAGGAGAAAAACAGCGAGCGTGTTGTTCTGTAGAACTGGTGTCAGACGTGGGAACTGGCCAGGCACAGTGGCTCACGCTTATAATCCCAGCACTTTGGGAGGTCAAGGTAGGAGGGCTGTTTGAGCCCAGGAGTTCAAGACCAGCCTGGGCAACACGGTAAGACCTTGTGGAGGCATCCTGTGCCTGTAATCCCAGCTCCTCGTGAGGCTGAGGTGGGAGGACGGCTTGAGCCCAGGAGGTTAAGGCTACATCATAGCTCACCCCCTCACCCCTGCCAAAAGTGGGACTTGCTAGAATAGCCTGGGGCCAGCAACTGGTACAGGGCCACCCTGGGGTCTGCCAGAGCCGGCACCACCCAGGCCGGGAGAGTGACCTAGGGCTAGGGTCTAGAACTCCACCCAGGCCAGCTGGCCCACCCTGATCACAGAGGGAGACACAAAGGCTGCTCACAGTGAGCCTATGGAGAGGGGCTCAGCCCCAACTCACAGACCCACACCCCACACACCCCTTCAGAACATGCCTGGTCTCACCCACAGGAGGCTGACGACAGGCACGCGTGCCCTTCTCAGAAGCACAACCTCCGAGCCCCATGGCTGGGGTTCTTTCTGGCATTTGGTGCCTTGTCTGACCCAGTGTGGGTTGGGAGGGAGCAGCCACAGGGCCTGCTGCTGTGAGAGGGTGGGAGTTCACCTCAGAAATGAGCTCCCTGTCCCGGGGGTGTGGAAGCAGACACTTCTCCCATCCCAAGAGGGCAGTCTGTCCAGATGTCCTCCAAGGTCCCTTCAGTCCAGAATTCCAGGGCCCTAATGTTGAGTGGCAACCACTCCCCTCCTGGTCACACAGCAGGGCCCAAGCTCGAGGGGCTGTCCAGACATGTGTGGTCACTGCCTGCCCTGTGCCCTCCACACTCTCCTTCTCCACCCAGCTACCGCTCAGACGGAAACTCAGGGTGGTCTCGGCAGAGGAGAACGTGCCCAGGCTACTGTGCCCACACAGCTGAACCCCGCACACCACAGGCAAGAGAGGAAGACAGAACCAAAGGCTTATTCCACCACCTGCTGCCCTCCATCCTTGCTTGCCCCTGAAAAATTTCCCGAGGCCTTCCTGTGAGCCTCCTCACAAAGAGAGAGAAACTGCAGTTGGCGAAGTCCAGAGACTTGCATCCCATGGAGTGAGGGAGCGTGAGTGGGGAGCACTTCCAGACACCAGACACCCATCAGGGCCACACCAGGCAGATCAGCCCCTGCGCCCTCCCGAGCAGGCCTTCCACTGGAAGCCCCTCCACGCTCTCCCTCGCGTGCACCACTGACACCCCAGCACTAGCTCCCAGCCTGCCCTCCAGTCTTCCCCAAGTGCACATCTGGCCACCTCCTCATCTTGCTCCACCAGCTTTCCATTCTTGTCTCCAGCAGTTTCCCAGCTCTTACACCACACCACCTACCTGGGATGGGCACCCATTTACACACCGGTGCCCAGGCCCTTACTACAGGTCACAGCCAGGTGTCTGTATGTGAGCCAGCTCACCCAGGCTGAGAGCCCCTCACCAAGACAGGGGCCAAAGCACAGCCCAGCTCCATGCGGCTCCATACAGTTGCCCACTGCAATGACCACACCAGGCCCCTGCTATCCTGCCCCTGCTCAGGACACCTGGGCAACTCCCCATCTTCATCACTCAACTGGAGGGCACTGGCATCTGGATCCTTTCCCAAACCCACAGGCCACAGAACTGAGTGCATCTGTCTCCTCCTAATGACTTGGGAGTGGGAGGTGGCACCTAGGATGAAGGACACACTACCTCCATGTCCAACTCCCCCAACGGACTGGGGACTCCCTGAGGGCAGACTGCATCCATCCCATCGTGAGGCTCAGGACTTGGTTAGGAGCTTAGAGGGTATGTTCCATTGTGAATGAATGGATAGAGCTGGATTGTGAATGTATGATGGATGGTGGGTAGACAGTGAATGAATGGAAAGACAGGTGGATAGTGGCTGAGTGAATGATGAATACGTGAGTGGATGGGGGAAGGGTAGATGAATGGCAGACAGGTGACTAGATGGATGGATGGGTGGATGGTAGATGAATGGAAGGATGGGTAGCAGATGGATAGATGGATAGTAAATGGATGAATAGCGGACGGATGGGTGTGTGGAGGGATGGATGCGGATGGATCAATGGATGAGCAGCAGGATGGAAAGATGAATAGTAAGTGGATGGACGGACGGTGGACGGTGAATGCACGGACGGTAGGTGTGTGGATGCTGGATGGATGAATGGATGGATTTCGAATGGATTGATGGACAGATGGTAGAAGGATGGATGATAGATGAATGACGGGTTGATGACACATAGCAGATGGATGGAAGGTGGATAGGTGAATGGATAAATGGATGAATGGATAGATGATGAGGACACAGATGGGACCTGACTGAGGCCTAGGGGTAGGACAGTTGGGGAAGAGCACTCAAGGACAAGCACTCAGGGATGGCCAGCTCTGGGGGCAAGGTATAATCCAAGCTGAAGGTTCCTAAAATCCTTTCGCACGCTTGCCCAAATCTGTACACTTGTCACAGGCATGCTTTCGCACCTGCACCTTTGAGCCTGAGGCAGGCAGATGTGTGTAAACGTGGATGTGCCTGTTGGCATGTGCCTGCATCCGTATCATAGGAGGCGGCACCGGGAGGGTGGAAGTCAGGAAGGTCCTGCCTTACCTTAGGGCCCAAGCCTGTGGCAGCTGGGCCCCCATCTCCCTCCTGCAAGAGGCATTAATCCCGGAGAGGGACCCCCACATGCCCTGGAATTTCTCAAGACTATCTTCACCAGCCTAACCCCCAGTGACCTCTCTGGTCCATGGCTTCAGTGGCCAGGAGTTGGAAAATTGCCAGCCCCAAGACAAGATCACTTTTGGAAGTCTTAGATTTCTGCCCCCACCCGCGGACAGCACCAATGGGTAGGATATTCTGGTGCCCAGGAAGCTGGGGGACTGGTGTGGAAGGGGGCTGCCCACCTGTGACTTTCAGCTGGGCCTCGGAGCTACATGTGCCCACGTGGAAGCTGACAGTTCCAGCATCCTCAAGGGTCACCTGAGGAATCAGGGAGAAACATGCTTGACCCTGGGAGCCCCATCCCGACCAGGAGGAGCCCAGCCATCTTGCCAGACCTCCATGACAGGGGCTCATCACCCCCCCAACACACCCCTGGTGAAAGACCTTCCCAAATGCAGTGGGAAGCATCCCCATCCTGGTACGCATGGGACCCAGGGGCCCCACCTTGTGCAGGGTGAGCAGGTGGAGTGTGCCCTGTTCCACAGCGATGTCGTTCATCTCGTTGGCCTGCAGGGGCACGCCTCCTAAAGCCCAGCGGGCTTCCTGGCCTGACGCTCTGGATAGCCGGCACTGGAAGCTGGCATCCTGGCCCTCGCTGAGCTGCACGTCCTGCAGGGGCTCCAGGATGGTCACCTCAGGAGCTGGACACAGGGGACGCATGGGTGTCAGCCTCAGCATCTGAGGTACCCCCTCAATCAGCAGAGTCTTATTGTCCTGGGAGTCCATCCCTGGGTATCCTCCCCAAATGCACAAAGATAAGCACATGGGGGTCTGTTCTCAGCTCTCCACTCCAGCTGCAGGCAGAGTCTGCTCTGATGGACAGTGGAAGGGTAAATGGATCAATGGAGGAATGAATGGATGGATAATAGGTGGATGGATGGATGGCTGATTAATGGATAAATAGGACTGCGGATGGATCAATGGATTAGAGAGATGAAGGACGGATGGTGAATGGGTGGATGGATGGGTGAATGGATAAATGGATGGATGGAAGGATGGATGACAGGTGGGTAAATGGGACCCGGGTGAGAACTAGAGGAGACGGTGCAGATGACTGACGGCTGAGAGTGGGCTATGGCTTGCAGTGACCCCGGTTTGCAGTGGCCCCCACGAGGGCCAAGACCCAAACTCCAACACTGTGTCAACCTATGGGAAGCCAACGGCCATCTACCCCACTCTCCCCTGACATCCTGGGGCCACCCTGAAGTGCCAGCTCACAGGTCCCCCTCCCTGCCAGGCCCCTGGGCTTCAAAGGCAGGGACGTTTGCTGTCTGTCTGCGTCCCCAGTGCAGTCACTGGTGGGGCTTGCCTGCGGCTACCTCTGATAGTGAGCTGGGCGGAGGAAGCATGGCCGCCCACGTGGAAGGAGACAGTGCCGGCGTCCTCAGGCGTCACACCCTTCAGCCGCAGGATGTGGACTCGGCCATCCCGCGTGGCCACCTCTGTCACCTCGTTGCTTTGCAGCAGCAGGCCCTGCAGGCACCACTGCACGTCTGTGGCTCCAGCCTGGGACACTTCGCAGCTGAACTCAACATCCTCGTCGGCCAGCACCTCCGCGTCAACCAGCCCCCGCACAATGGTCACTTCGGGCTCTGGGGGTGAGGTGAGAGGGTCCCCTTTACCAGCCAAGTAAAAGAGCCCAGGCCAAAATCCCATGCCTCCTCCTCCAGGAAGCCTTCCTGGGCAGCCTCACACTCCTTTGCCACGGCCCATCTGTCCCACATGGTTTCCGTCCCCTGATGTGCTCACAAGCACAGATCCCACCATGACAGCTCTTCAGGGACAGAACCTGGGCCAGGGGTGTAGGCCAAGAGGAAGTTGTGTCTGAGGAATCCTTGGGAAGGGTCGTGGGAGCCTGTCTACTCGAATACTGCAGCCCCACCCTGTCCAGCACAGCAGGGAGGCAAGGCTTGCGGGAGAAACAGGAGCGGTCAGCAGGGCACCCACACGCCGGCCGCAGGGGGGCTTGAGGGGCCACAGCCTATTTCCCAGAGATCCCCGACAGGGACACTGGGAGGTGCGGGGGTGAGGAGGAGGACAGCGTGAGAGCAGGGCTCAGGTGCACCCAGAAGGCCACCATGAGGGGTGGATGGCAGGGAGCTGCTCCCCCTCTCCTCCCGGAGGCCCCAAGGCTCACCTGTGACCCTGAGGGAGGCAGAGGTTTTCTGGCCACCTGTCACGCAGGCATACTCGCCCGTGTCCTTTGCCTCCAGTTGGTGGATCAGCAGCTCCCGCATGGCCCCCTGGCTCCTCATCTCATACTTGGGGCCCGCGTGCAGCTCCATGCCCTCCTTGAGCCATTGCACCGTGGCCCCCGGGTCTGCGTCGCTCAGCTGACAGCACAGCCGGGCTACGGCACCCGTCTGCTGCTCCAGGCTCTGCAGCCGGGTCTTGAACTTGGGCCTGGGGACTGGGGGAGATGCAGGAAGGCACACTTAGTGCCCCTGGCCACTGACCAAGGGTGAAGGGCTGTGGGAGGCAGGGCTGGCGAGCAGCTCACCACGAACGGAGAGGCTGGCTGTGCTCTGCATGTGACCCGTGTCGCACGTGTAGTCACCCGCGTCCTCCTGCTCCACACCGCGTACCAGCAACTCCGCAGCGGCCCCGTCCTGAACCATCTGGTACTTGGCACAAGGGAAGAGCTGCAGGGAGCCCTTGCGCCACTCCATGCTGGCACCCGCCTGGCTCAGCTCACAGCGCAGGTGCGCCGTGTCTCCCTCGTCCACCTCCTGGGGCTGCAGCTCTTGGAGGAACTGCACAGGTGCCGCTGTGGGGGAGGAGCGGGGCATGAGAGCAGGTCCCTGAAGGGCTATAACGGGGAACGCACAGCGGGCGTGACACAGGGAAGGGTGGGGAGGGGAACCGCATAGAGCAGCTACTGGGAAGGAGCAGGGCCTTGGGCCAGGTCCGACCCCCACCCTGTGGAGCCGTCTCCTCAACTGGGACCCCCAGGTGGGGAGGCAGCCCCAAGGGTCAGCTCAGAGCACTGGAACTGCACTAGATCCTGGGCCAGGCCAGCCTGGGAGCCCACCTGTGACGGTGAGGGTGGCGCTGGTGCTCTGGGAGCCACAGGTGCAGGTGTACTCGCCGGCGTCTTCACGCAGCAGGTCCCGCAACACCAGCTCCGCCATGCAGCCCCGAAGCCGTGGCTCCCGGCGCCCGTCGGCCTGCAGCTCCAGGCCGCCCTTGCTCCAGACCACCGCAGCGGCGGGCTCAGACAGCGCACACTGCAGGCTGGCACTGGAGCCCTCCTCCACCTGAAGACTCTGCAGCGGCTCCCGGAACACGGGCTGTGGGGCTGCAGCAGGCAGGGGGCAGGGGCAGGGGCAGGGGCAGGGTCAGCTCCAGATCTGCACCAGGCATCGCTCTCCAGGCCTGGGCTCCCCCCAGCTCCCTGGCCTGGCTTCACAGGCGGTGCTGCCTCAGATGGCAGTGGGGACCACTGGTCTGCGATTCGGGAGTGAGGAGGCAGAGCGGTGGGAAAGCAGGGAGGGGCTCAGGAGGCTGGCCTCTCGCCCAGGACCCCACCCGCAACCCCCCACAGGGCCAGAGCCCCCAGGCCCCAGGGCAGGGGTGTGTACTCCTCCCCGGTACACAGGTGGGAGCTGGCTGGAGAGCTGCTGGGTGAAGCCCTGTGCCCCAGACCCAAGGGCAGAGCTGAGTCCCCCAGATCCCAGGCCGACGCCAGGGCCTGGGGCTATAGGTTCCGTCTTCCTTTCCTGGGCATCCAAGCCCCAGGGCACAGATATATATTCAGATTGCAGAGTGGGGCCATGGCCCCCAGACTCCAGGGCAGGGACCAGGTCCCCTTAGGCCCTCAGGTGCCGTGGGGACTGTTTGCCCCACAAGGCTACACACAACTAGGGCCAGCATGCAGGTCCCAGGGCTCTAGGTCCCGCCTCCCTTTGCTAGGCACCAGAGGCCTCCTCCTGAGGACATGAGACCCTGTGGCTGAGACTGCAGGGCTCAAATGAAGACTGGCAGAAAGTTGATTGACTAGGGGGTGATGGGAGGCAGGGGGAAGGCAACAAGGCAGGAATTCCTTCCCTACCACCATGACTGGTACCCGAGGTCACATGGCTGGAGCTCAGTACAGACACCAGGGCACAGGATAACACTGGGACCCATGAGCAGAGGGGACAGAGGAAACCGCAGGAGGCAGAGGAAACAAGCACCCGCAAGGAGGTGTGTGGTGCCCGTGACTGTACACGGAGGAGACTACACACCCGCATCAGTCCATGCAGCCACGTGAGGTCATTACCCTTGACAGTGAGCATGGCCGATGTCCTCTCCTGCCCGCACACACACGAGTACTCCCCAGTGTCTGCCACAGACAGCCCTCGGATCTGCAGCTCACACCTGGTCCCGTCCTGCCTCAGGCTGTATCTGCCCCCATCTCTGAGGCTCTCAGACCCCTTCCTCCACTCCACGGGGGCCGCCTTGCTCAGCTCACACTGCAGCGTGGCCGTGGTCCCTTCTCTGGCCTCCTGGCTTCTCACGTCTTCTATGAACCTGGCAGGCAGGGCTGGGAAGGACCAAGCAGTCACTGAGATCATCAGACTGTCTGGAGAACTCTGTGGACAGGACATGGGCACCCACAAGGAACCACACAAACCACCAAAGGACCACACGTGAAGGAGCAAATGAACGTTCACACAGGAGGAAATAAATGGGCCAGGAGGAACAGAGAACACACGTGGAGAAGGACATGGGCATGAGGACACCTCCTGGACAAGATGGGGAGGTGGGAGATGCCCAGAGGACCTGGTTAGAGGACAGACAACCATGGGTTGCCACAGGACCATGCCACACTGAGACACAGAAGGTGGCACACAGAGAGACAGAGGTAGAAGATAACATGTAAACACCAAGTTATCTGCAGAGATAACATAAACACCCAGCCACACAGGACCTTTACCCCTGACAGTCAGCATAGCTGAGGTCCTCTCCTGCCCGCACATGCATGAGTACTCCCCGGCATCTGCCACAGCCAGGCCACGGATCTGAAGCTCACACCTGGACCCGTCCTGCCTCAGGCTGTGTCTGTCCCCATCTCTGAGGAGTTCAGGTCCCTTCCTCCACTCCACAGGGGCCGCCTTGCTCAGTTCACACCGCAGCATGACCATGGCCCCTTCTGTGGCCTCTTCATTCCTCAGACCCTTTGTGAACTTGGCAGGCAGGGCTGGGGAGGTCAGAATATATGGACACAATCATGCCTCTGAGCCCACAGAAGAGACAGGACATGGACAACACTGAAAAGACACAGAACCCAAATGGACATGAGCCACGTCGGGATGTGCTGACCACGGGCTGTGTACTGTGGCTTCCTTCAGTCCAGGCTGTACAGCACATGACCACGGCCCCTCCATGGCCACCTCACACCTCAGTCTTTGTATGAATCTGGCAAACATAGAGCTGGAGAGGGCCAGATGCATGTGGAAATCAGATCATCTGGAGCACTTTGGTGGACAGGATACAAAGGAATGGAGAACAACATACAGAAGCCAATAGGGCAATGTGACTGAACCTATGCTGGAACACAGGTGGGGGCTGACTGGAGATGCTGCTTTATCCTGGTTTCCACAACAGCCCAGGAGGCTGGAAGGGATTCTGTGCAATTATGGGAACAGGGTGACATGCACACAGGGAGACAACACAGAATGAGTGAAGATGGATGGGATGAGGTCAATACTGGCACACCAGAATGTGGCTTTACTTGGCCACATGTGATCTTTACCCCTGATGGTGAGTGTGGCTGAGGTCCTCTCCTGCCCACACACACATGAGTACTCCCCAGCATCTGCCACAGCCAGACCACGAATCTGCAGCTCACACCTGGTCCCGTCTTGCCTCAGGCTGTATCTGTCCCCATCTCGGAGGGTTTCAGGTCCCTTCCTCCACTCCACAGGGGCCGCCTTGCTCAGTTCACACCACAGCGTGGCCATGGCCCCTTCTGTGGCCTCCTGGTTTGTCATGTTGTCTATAAATTTGGCAGGCAGGGCTGGGAAGGACCAAACAGTCACTGAGATCACACTATCTGGATGACTCTGTGGACAGGACACAGACACACACAAGGAGCCACACAAACCACCAAAGGACCAAAGCAGAATGAGCAAATGAATGTACCAAAGGTGTGAAAACACATGGCCCAGGAGGAACAGAGAACACACAGGGATGGGCATGAATAGGAGGATGTCTCCTGATGAGGAGAAGTGGAGGCAGGAGATAACCAGAGGACCCCAGTTAGAACACAACCTCAGGGTTACCACAGAAGTGCCACCTTTGGAAGCAGAAGGTGGTGACAGAGACACGTAGATCCCAAGCCACAAGTCCACATGACCACACAAGATCTTTACCCCTGACAGTGAGTGTAGCTGAGGTCCTCTCCTGTCCACACACACACAAATACTCTCCAGTGTCCTCCATAGCCAGGCCACGAATCTGCAGCTCACACCTCGTCCCATCCTGCCTCAGGCTGTATCTGTCTCCATCTCTGAGAGTCTCAGACCCCTTCCTCCATTCCACGGGGGCTGCCTTGCTCAGCTCACACTGCAGTACAACCGTGGCCCCTTCTCTGGCCTCTTGGTTTCTCACATCTTCTATGAATCTCGCAGGCAGGGCTGCGAAGGACCAAGCAGTCACTGAGATCATCAGACTGTCTGGAGGACTCTGTGGACAGGACACAGACACACACAAGGAGCCACACAAACCACCAAAGAACCATGGCAGAATGAGCAAAGGTACAGAGGGTGAGAAAGCACATGGCACAGGAGGAACAGACCCTATCACTGAGGGTCTCAGGTTCCTTCTTCCACTCCACAGGGGCCACCTTGCTCAGCTCACACTGCAGCAGAGCCGTGGCCCCTTCTGAGGCCTTCTTGGTCTTCAGATCTTGAGTGAACCAGGCAGGCAGGGCTACGAAGGGTCACATGGACAGAAGCAATCAAATCCTCTGGAGGATCTGAGGGACACACCTGAACATCCAAGAAGGAAAAAGAAGCAGGAAGGCTGGAGAGACTTGGGATGAAGAGGCCCAAAATGCATTTGACAGTGAGATCTTCCTATATTCTGCCTGTAAGGTGCAGACTGGTGGGAGATGGACTCCATCCTGGATCTCTTCTCAAAAGGCATCTTGTCCTACCCATGAACTTTCATTATGGGGAAGCAAGACAGGCTCCTCCAACTTGCAATTGCTCATCACATATGCAATAATGTGATGAGCATCTCTCTATGATGACTCAGGAGGCATCTTCAGGTCCCAACATCCACTGTCCCATTGTCATCCCTCACACAAGAGACAATCTGAGCAGACAGAGCTTCCATCCAGCACTGCTCATGCCCGGATATACCTGGACTCACCATACAACATCCCAGCCCACACAAGGCCCTGCTGCCTCCATCCAATATGCTCCTGGCCTGACCCTACTGAATCCACATTCCCACATACTACCCCGGCTCATATCACCGAGATCGTGACAGGTATCAGATGTGGCCTCTAACTATACCTCTGAACCTCCAATTTACCATTCTCTCCTCCCTCCTGACTCCAGGCAGAGGGCTCACAAGTTAGCAAACCAAGGCCCAACCCAATTACATAGCCAAAGCCTGCTATGGGCTGTGCTTCCACAAAAGTCAAATATTGAAGTCCTAACTTCCACTATTTCAGAATACAACTATTTTTGAGATAGGGCCTTTAAAGGAGTGATTAATGCTAAATGGGATCATAAGGGTGGCACCTAATCCAATATAAATGCTTCCCTTATAATAAAAGGAAATTAGGACACAAACACAGAGGACCAGTGAAGACTCAGAGAAAACAGTGTCTACAAGCCAAGGAGAGAAGCCTCAGAAGGAGCCAACCCTACTGACACCTGGATCTCAAACATCTAGCCACTAGAATGGTGAGGAAATAAATTTCTGTTATTTATACCTCCCAGTCTATGATACTTTCTTTATGGTACCCCAAGCAAACAAATTCAAACTTTGGTACCAGGAGTGGGGTTCCAAAGTAACAAATACATATAAATGTGGATGTGGCTTTACAATTGGGTAATGGGAAGTGGCTGAAAGATATTTTAGGTGCACGCCAAAAAGCAGTGCTTGCCAGGCAGCAATTGTTGGTGAAGACATGGGTGTTAAGTGATTCTGGTCAAGCCTCAGATGACAATGGGGACATGTTCTTAAGAACTGGAGAAAGACAATCATGGTTATAAAGTGACCAAGAATCTGGTCAAATTTTATTCTAGCATTTTGTGGAAGGCAGGACTTGCAAACAACAAAATTGGGTATATTTACCTGGGGAAGGTTCTAAGCAAAGAATTGAAAGCTTAGCCTTGTTTCTCTCCAATATGAAAATGTAAGTAGAGAAAGATAAATTCAAAAAGGATTTGTTAAGCAAAAAGGAACCAGAGCTTGAAGATATGGACAAATTTGCAGCCTATACATACTGCAAAAAAATGAGAAAGCATGTTCTGGGGAAAATATCAAGGTTGGACAACCATTTGCTATACAAATCAGGTGTGTGGTTTACGGATCCATTCAGCCCTCTCAGCAGAAGCCAGTAATAGAAATGAGATGATCAAGGAAAGATCTGTAGAGAACTTTCTTGTCTTGTGGGTTTCGCCTACATGGATCACATGGGACAAGGTTTCTGTGATCTTTAGACTAGAGGAAATGCTGCTAGCTTGAACTGATTAGAACAGAGATGGGACAAATGAAGGCTGTCAGACTTCTGAGAATATACAGGATAGGCCAATAGAGCTACCTGGATATAAGCAGGATATTCTGCAAGAAAAAGGAATAATGACCCAATAGTTGGTTCTGAGGTTGACAGCAATGGCAGTATAACCAGGGGCTAGAGGGCACAGTCCTGGGAGTAAAGCTTTCTTCTCCTCAGTTACAGAGAGCCAGGCACCTCCACTCAGGGCTGAGGGGGTAGAATTGCAACCCTGTTGGGTCCAGAGGACAGGGCATTCATCCAAAGCCTTAAAACCTAATGATATTTGTCCTGCTGGGTTATACCTTGCTTGGGGCCCATGACTCATTTTTCCTTTTCAGTTTCTCCCTGATTAAGAATGTCCATCCCATGCCTGTCCCACCATTGTGACTTCAAAGCAAATAACTTGTCTTGATTTCACAAATGAAGAAAAGTTTTGCCTCAGGATGAGTCTCCCTCACAGTTGACTCGGATGATATTTAGAGGCAATTTGGACTAGTTGGTGCTGAAATTGGTTAAGATCTGGGACTGTTAGGAAGAAGTAAACATATTTTGCATGTGAGGCGGCCATGAATTTTCAGAATCCGGTGGTGGAGTGTTATGGTCTGAACTGTGCCTCAGAAAAATGCATACGTTGATGTCCTAACCCCCAGTACGCCTCAGAATGTCACTGTGTTTAAAGACGATCACGGAAAGGTAAAATGAGGTTGTTACGGTGGGCCCAAATCCAGTACGACTTATAAAGAGAGGTGCCCTTATAGAGAGGTTAGGCCACACATATGCACCCAGAGGGACAACCACGTGAAGGTTAGGCCACACATATGCACCCAGAGGGACAACCACGTGAAGGTTAGGCCACACATATGCACCCAGAGGGACAACCACGTGAAGACACGAGGAGAAGACAGCTGTCTACAAGAAGAGGGGCTGACACCTTGCGATTTCAGCCCCATACTTGAGAAAATAAATCTCTATTGTTTGAGCCACCCTGTCTGCAGTGCTTTGTTATGTCAGCCTGAGCAGATGAAGACAATACTCCTTTAGAAGCTTGGAATGACCACAAGGATAGATGAGAATACTCGCCAGATTGAAGAGGCACCTGGCCTGAACCCATTGCTATGTCTGTCTAAGGACATACATTTCCTGACCTCCAATGCCTGGGGCCCAAGAGCTGGTGCACATCCACAGGCCCTTGTAAAATGGCAGGGGCCCCAGGTAGCTCTCCTGGATCTTGACACCTGTTTGCTGGTGCCTCCTGGGGACCCTGCACTATTCACCTCTGGGGTCTGTATGTCCAGGTCCTAGATTAGGCCATCCAAGTGGGTTCTCAGTGTGCGTTTGGGGGATGGACCACACAGATGAGTGACTGAATAAGATGTCAACGACATTTAGAGACACTGGGAGAGCACAGAGTACAGACCATGTGGGTTAGGTGGGGGAAGACAAGTCACTCAGGTGGCCACATGGTCTTTACCCCTGACGGTGAGCGTGGCTGAGGTCCTCTCCTGCCCACATATGCACGAGTATTCTCCAGCATCTGCTATGACCAGGCCACGAATCTGCAGCTCACACCTGGTCCCATCCTGCCTCAGGCTGTGTCTGTCCCCATCTGTGAGGGTGTTGGGCCCCTTTCTCCACTCCACAGGAGCCGCCTTGCTCAGCTCACATTGCAGGGTGACTGTAGCCCCTTCTGTGGCCTTCTGGCTTCTCACATCCTCTATGAATCTGGCAGGCAGGGCTGAGAAGGACCAAACAGTCACTGACATCTTCAGACTGGAGAATTCTTTGGACAGGGCATGGACACTAATAAGGAGCCACACAAACCACTAAAGGACCACAGCAAGATGAGCAAGGAACAGTGAGAAGGCAAATGGCCCAGGAGGCACAGAGAATACACAGGGATGTGCATAAGCAGGAGGACATCTCCTGATGAGACGGAGGGTGGGGGGCGGGAGATACCTAGAGGGCCCCAGGTAAAGAACAGATAATCAAGGGTTGCCACAGGAGCTGTGCCACATTTGGAGGCAGAAGGCGGTGACACAGAGAGGGGTATACACCAAGCCACAAGCCACACAGGATCTTTACCCCTGACAGTGAGTGTAGCTGAGGTCCTCTCCTGCCCACACACACATGAGTACACCCCAGTATCTGCCATAGCCAGGCTGTGAATCTGCAGCTCACACATGGCCCCGTCCTGTCTCAGGCTGTATCTGTCCCCATCTCTGAGAGCCTCGAGGCCCTTCCTCCACTCCACAGGGGCTGCCTTGCTCAGCTCACATTGCAGTGTGGCTGTGGCCCCTTCCATGGCCTCTTCATTCCTCAGACCCTCTGTGAACCTGGCAGGCAGGGCTGGTGAAGGGATCAGAAAGACAGGGACACAATTACACTGAGCACATGAAAGAGACAAGACACAGATGGCACAGAGAAGACAGAAACCCCAACTGAACACAGGCCACACATAGAGCATGCCAAGCACGTGGGGCATGCCACACGTAGGGCATGCCAAGCACAGGCTGTAGATTCTCTCTGTGCAGCCTGGGTAACACCATAGTCATGGCCCCTTCATGGGCTCCTCAGGCCTCAGAGATAACATGAATCTGTCATGTAGGGCCAGAGAGGGTCATAAAACAAGAATGTTAGACTCCTTGAAAGCGCTGGTAGATAGGACATGACAAGATGAAGGACAGACACAATCTGATAGGACAGGGCCCGCGGTATCACAGGGGTAGGAATCTGGACGTAGATGTGTTTCTTCTGGTTCCTTGAGCAGCCCAGGAAGCTGGAAGGGACAGCATGGCATGATGTAAACAGTGTCGCAGTCTGGGGAGACCATGCAATGAGCAGAAATTGACAACAGGAAGTGAACAACTGGACACCAGAATGTGGCTCTGGACATGTGGACTTTACCCCTGACGGTGAGCATGGCTGAGGTCTTCTCTTGTTCACACACACACGAGTATTCCCCAGCATCAGCCACAGCCAGGCTGTGGATGTGCAGCTCACACCTTGTTCCATCCTGCTTCAGGCTGTATCTGCTCCCATCTCTGAGGGTCTCAGGACCCTTCTTCCACTCCACAGGGGACACCTTGCTCAGCTCACACTGCAGCACAGCCGTGGTCCCTTCTGAGGCCTCCATGGACTTCAGATCTTGAGTGAATCTGGGAGGCAGGGCTAGGAAGGGTCACATGGACAGAAGTCATCAAACCCTCTGGAGATCTGAGGGATGCACCTGAACATCCAAGAGGGAAACAGAAGGAGATCCCGAGGACATGGGATAAGGAGGACCAAAAACTGTGAGAGTGAGGTCTTCCTGCATTCTGCCTCTGAGGTATGGATTAGCTGGGAGATGGGTTCCATCCTGGATCTTTTCTCAAAAGGCATCTTGTCCTACCCATATCCTATCATTACTAGGAAGAAAGACAAACTCTTCCAACTTGCAACCCACATATGCAATAATGTGATGTATCTCTCTCCTCTTTCCTCCCTCCCTCCCTCTCTCCCTCTCCCTCCACCCTCACCCCCTCCAGCCTCATAGGATGCACCTCCCTGCCCTGACACCTGCAACCCATTCTCACACAGGAGATACCCATCCCAAGCAGGGCGTCCCTCTGGCACTGCTCATGAACAGGCATTCCTGGGCTCACTGCCCACCATCCCAGCCCACACAAGGCCCTGCTGTCTCCACCTCACTACTCCTGTCCTGACCTTACTGGATACACATTGCCTTGGCTCAATCACTGAAACCCCCAACAGACTCCAGATGTGGCTTCTACACCACAACTCCGACTCTTCAACCTGCCGTCCTCTCTTCCCTCCTGACTCCAGGCAGAGTGAGAGCTCACAAGGTACAACGAACCAAGGCCCACCCTGATTACCCTCTGTTACGATCTGATTGCGTCCCCTCAAATTCATACGTTCAAATCTAACCTCTAGAACCTCAGTGTGACTGTATTAAAGATAGGGCCTTTAAAGTGGTAACTAACATTAAGTGAGGTTATTAGGATGTGCCCTGATCCAATATGACTGGTGTCCTTATAAAAAGAGGATATTAGGACACAGACACACACTGAGGGGTGACCACATGAAAGACAGAAGACTGTATCAACAAGCCAAGGAGAGAAGCCTCAGAGGAAGTCAACCTAACAACACTTTATCTCAGACTTCTAGTCAGAAAACTAACAAAATATTGGTACCAGGAGTTGGGTGCCATTGTAACAATTACCTAAAAATGTGGAAGTTGCTTTGGAACTGGGTAGTGGGTAGAGGCTGGACATTTGAAGTGCATGTTGGAAAAAACCCTAGATTGCTATCAACAACCTGTTCATGCAAAGATGGACATTCAAGATCCTTCTGGTCAGACCTCAGATGGAAATAAAGAACAGGTTATTGGAAAGCAAAGGAAAGGTGATCCTCATTATTAAGCGGCAAAGAACGTGTCCAAATTGTGTTGTTGTGTGTGGAAGGTGGGACTGATAAACAGTAAAATTTTGCATGTTTAGCTGAGGAGATTTTTAAGTAAAGTGTTGAAAGTGCAGCCTGTTTTCTTTTTTGCTTATAGTAAAGTGCAAGAGGAGGGAAATAAATTGAAGAATTCTAAGTAAAAAAAAAAAAAGGAATCAATATTTGAAGCTTTGGAAATTTTTCAGCCTATCCACATGGTAAAAAAATGAGACACTGTGTTCCGAAGAGAACATCAAGGGTGTGGCTAGACAACCATTTGCTAAAGCACCAGGTGTGCAATTTATGGATCCAATTAGTCATCTCATCGGAAGCCAGGAATAGAGATGCAGTTATCTGAAAAAGCCTCTTATCCGATGGTGTGAACCTCCATGAATTGCATGGAAGGCCAACTCAGTTTTTGATAATCTTACACAAGCAAATTGGAGTAAATTGGATTAAGGTGGGATAAAATGAAAGAAGGCTGTCAGACTTCTGGGATTCTACAGAATGAGCTAATATCACTACATGGCTGCAAACATGTCTTATCCTTCAAGAAAATGGAAGAATGGCCCCAAAGGCATCAGCAGGGCTGCCACTGCCACAAGGGGTGCAGGGATCAGGGCCTCCTCTGTCCACAACGAGGGGGAGAGGCTGTTGCCCAGAGATGAGTGGATAAGATGTCACCCAGGTCTGAGAGACTGGGGACCATACTCTGGTTGGCATTGAGGACTGGGAATTAAGTCAAAGAGAATTATTTTTCAGGCTTTTCAAAAAAAATAGAGATGGGGTCTCACTGTCACCCAGGCTGGAGTGCAGACACAATTATAGCTCACTGCAGCCTCAAATTCTCAGGCTCAAGGGATCCTCCTGCCTCAGCCTCCCTAGTAGCTGGAACCCCAGGTATGCATCACCATAGAAAAGGGGTCTTGCTATACTTTCCAGGCTGGTCTAGAATGCTGGCCTCAAGTAATCCTCCTGCCTTGGCCACCCAAAGTGCTAGGATTACAGACATGAGCCATCGTCCCCAATCACTAGCCTTAAAATCTAGTAAAATTTGCTCTTCTAGTTTCAGGCCTGCATAAGACCCATAACCCTTTTTTCTTTCCAACTTTCCCCCTCTTGAACCAGGAATGTCTATCCTATGCCTGCACCACTGCATTTTGGAAGCACAAGACTTGTCTGGTTTCACACTTCACAATTGAAGAATTTTGCCTCAAGACGAGTCATACTTCACCTCCCTCACACTTGACTTAGACGACATTCACATGAGATTTGGATTTTTGAGTTGATGCTGGAATGGGTTAAGATTACAGGCTGTTAGGAAGGAGTAAATGCATTTTGCATGTTAGAAGGTCATTAATTGTGGGAAGCCAGAGGGTAGAATGTCATGGCCTGAACTGAGTCCTCTCTCCAAATCCGTATGTTGAAATCCTAACCCTTAGTACTTCACAATGTCACTGTATTGAAATAGGATCTTTGAAAGGCAAAATGGCGTTGTTGGGGTGGGCCCAATCCAATACGACCAGAGAGTATCCACAAGCCAAGAAAAGAGGCCTCAGGAGAAACCAACCGAGTCACTCCTTGATCTTGGAATTTCAGACTCCGGAAGTCTGAGAAAATAAACATCTGCTGCGAAGCCACTCAGATGCAGTGCTCTGCTGCGTCTGCTGAGCAGATGAAGGCAGCAGTCCTTCAGAAGCCTGGCATGACCACAAGGAACAAACACTCTCGGCAGATTTAGGGGGGCCTGGCCTGACCACCTTCTTGCTGAGCCCCAACCCTACCGTGCACAGCCTCTAGGCCTGGGGCCCCGGAGCCCATGCACATGTGTAGGCCCCAGCAAGACACCAGCAGCCCCAGCAGCTCTCCTGTACCCTGACGTCTGTCTGTGGGGCTCTCCTTTGGGTCCCTGCCCCATTCACCCCTGGAGTCCATATTCCTAGGCCTTAGATTAGGTGATCCAAGCGGGTTCCATGTGCATTTGAGGGATGTGTCACACAGGTGAGTGACTGAATGAGATGACAATGATATCAGGAGGCACTGGGAGAGCAGAGACCATGTGGGTTAGGTGGGAGGAGACAGCAGTCACTCAGGTGGCCACATGTGGTCATTACCCCTGACGGTGAGCGTGGCCGATGTCCTCTCCTGCCCGCACACACACAAGTATTCTCCAGTGTCCGCCACAGACAGCCTACGGATCTGCAGCTCACACCTGGTCCCGTCCCGCCTCAGGCTGTATCTGTCCCCATCTCTGAGGCTCTCAGACCCCTTCCTCCACTCCACGGGGGCCGCCTTGCTCAGCTCACACTGCAGCATGGCCGTGGCCCCTTCTGTGGCCTCTTCATTCCTCAGACCCTCTGTGAACTTGGAAGGCAGGGCTGCAGAGGTCAGAAGACACAGATACAATCACCTCTGAGCACATAGAAGAGATAGGAAGGACGTGGAGGGCACAGACAAAACACAGAATCCAACGGGGCACAGGCCACATGGGCGTGCTGAGCACAGGCTGTGAACTGGGGCGTCCTCAGTACCAGCTGCACAGCACATGGCCATGACTCCTCCGGGGGCCTCCTCACACCTCAGCCTTTATAGGAGTCTGGCAGGCTCAGAGAGGACCAGAAACACATGGAGAACATCAGGTCATCTGGAGAACATCAGGGGATAGATATGACAGGATGGAAGACACAGAATTCAACAGGACAATGTCAACAGAGCCCTTGAAGGCAAGCAGTAAAAGCCAGCTGGAGAGCCTGCTTCCTACTGCTTCCCATAACAGCACCGAAGGCTGGAAGACACTTGCGCAGTTACAGACACAGGCAGGCACATACACAGGGAGAGAATGTGGCACGGGCAGACAGACGTGTCAAATCAACATGTGGACATGAGCATGGCACTGCCTGGCCGCCTGTGGCCTTTACCCCTGACGGTGAGTGTGGCCGAGGTCCTCTCCTTCCCGCACATGCACAGGTACTCCCCAGCGTCCTCCACCACCAGGCCACGGATCTGCAGCTCACACCTGACCCCGTCCTGTCTCAGGCTGTGTCTGTCTCCATCTCTGAGGGTCTCATGCCCCTTCTGCCACTCCACGGGGGCCATCTTGCTCAGCTCACACTGCAGTGTGGCCGTGGCCCCTTCTGTGGCCTCTTTGTTCCTCAGACCCTCTGTGAACTTGATGGGTAGAGCTGGGGGAGGGTCAGAATATATGAACACACTCATGCTCTCTGAGCATGTGGAAGAGACAGAACACGGATAGCACAGAGAAGACACAGAACCCAACTGGACACAGGGCACGTGGAGGTGTGCTAAGAACAGGCTGTGGATGGGGGCTTCCCATGCTCCAGCCTGTCAGCACTGTTGCTGTGGCTCCTTCCGTGGCCTCCTGAGGCCTCACACTTTATGCTGCCAGAGCCAGAGGATGTCAGACACACACGAAGACCACGAGAGCCTCAGGAGCACTCTGTGGGGGAGGGTAGGACAGCACGAAGGGCAAGGCACAGAAGCCAACAGGACGACATGACAGAGCCCATCCATACAGGTATATGGGGTGATAGCTGGCTGCAGGGCCAGTTTCTCCTGGTTCCCACAATAGCTCTGGAGGCTGGAGGGGATTCCGGAGTGATGGGGAAAGAGTGCCGCAGATGCGGGGACAGGCGTGGGGCAAGCACAGACGGACGGCGTGACAACAATATGTGGACCCCAGAAGACGGCTCTCCTTAGCCACATGTGGCCTTTACCCCTAACGGTGAGAGTGGCCGAAGTCCTCTCCTGTCCACACACGCACGAGTACTCCCCAGTGTCTGCCACGGACAGCCCACGGATCTGCAGCTCACACCTGGTCCCGTCCCGCCTCAGGCTGTATCTGTCCCCATCTCTGAGGCTCTCAGACCCCTTCCTCCACTCCACGGGGGCCGCCTTGCTCAGCTCACACCGCAGCGTGGCCGTGGCCCCTTCTCTGGCCTCTTGGTTTCTCACATCTTCTATGAACCTGGCAGGCAGGGCTGGGAAGGACCAAGCAGTCGCTGAGATCATCAGACTGTCTGGAGAACTCTGTGGACAGGACATGGGCACCCACAAGGAACCACACAAACCACCAAAGGATCATGTGTGAAGCAAATGAACGTTCACACAGGAGGAAGCAAATGGACCGCAGGAACGGAGAACACAGAGGGATGAGCGTGAGGACACCTCTGGGACAAGAAGCCGGGGAGGCAGGAGACATTGGAGAACATCAGGTGGAGGAGACAAGCCCGGGCTTGCCACAGGGGCTGTCCCACATTTGGAAGATGAGGATGGCACGGTGACATGTAGACACCACGCCACAGGTCCACAAGACCACACATGATCTTTACCCCTGACAGTGAGCGTGGCCGATGTCCTCTCCTGCCCACACACGCACGAGTACTCCCCGGCATCCGCCATGGCCAGGCCACAGATCTGCAGTTCACACCTCATCCCCTCCTGCCTCAGGATGTGTCTGTCCCCATCTCTGAGGTTCTTAGGCCCCTTCCTCCACTCCACAGGGGCTGCCTTGCTCAGTTCACACCGCAGCGTGGCTGTGGCCCCTTCCATGGCCTCTTCATTCCTCAGACCCCCTGTGAACCTGGCCGGCAGGGCTGGGGATCAGAAAGAGAGGACCACAGTCACACCCTCTGAGCCCACAGAAGACACAGGACATGGTCAAAGAGAGAAGACAGGGAACCCATGTGAACGCGGCCACTCCTGGGGCACGCTGAGCACAGGCTGTGCACTATGGTTCCCACAGTCCAGCCCAGGAGCATTGTGGTGGGGCCCCTTCTGAGGCGTCCTCAGGCCTCATACTTTCTATGAACCTGGCTGGCAGGGCTAGAGGGACACAAATACCATAAGGCCCTCTGAAGACAGCGGGGGACACTCAACAAGGACACATTCCCTTGCTGGAGGGAACCAGGAATTAACGCACAGACACATGGATGGGAAACAGTGCCCTGGGTGCAGAGAACAGACTGGCCACGACCACACAGGGGAAAGCCGCTGGGGAAACGGAGGAGCGGGAATCCTAGCGAGGACCCCAAAATGATGGCAGACACACAGCTGCCACAGGCCCCACGAGACGGGGAGGTGCTCCAGGGCCCAAGACCAGCCTGGTGCTCAGCTACAGCACACTGCGGCCCGCCCACGCTGTGGCTCCCTGGTTCATTGTTGCTTCGTATTTTTTCCTTTTTCAGACAGGGTCTCAGGGTGTCGCCTAGGTTGGAGGGCAGTGTTGCCATCACAGCTCACTGCAGCCTCAAACTTGTGGCCTCAACTAGTCCTCCCACTTCAGCCTCCTGAACAGCTGGGACCACAGGTGCACAGCACCACACCCAGCTAAATTTTGTATTTTTTGTAGAGAGGGGGTCTCCCTGGGTTGCCCAAGTCAGTCTGGAACTCTTGGGTTCGAGTGATCCTCCTGCCTCAGACTCCCAAAGTGCTAGGATTACAGGCGTGAGCCACTGTAGCCAGTCATGATTTTGATGGATAGCTGGAGGAAAGAGACACAAAGTCCACTGCCTAAAAGTCTCCCACGAAATCATCCAGGCTCCTGCTTCTTATCAGCTCCTGCTGCTCCTGCAGCCAGAGCCCTAGGGCAGAAGGGGGGTAAGGAGCCTGCTGCTGGGGGAGAGGAGAGTGCCGCCTTCCACCTTGACTGTCACTGTGTTAATGACGCAGGCAGGGACCCCAGGTGGCAGGTGCCCCGGTGCACGCATCCAGCAGACAAGAAACGACCAACTGAACACACGAGGGAGCCATCCAGCCAGGCACGTAGAGTTAGCCATGAATCACAGGGACAGACGAGGGCCACTGGGTCCTGTGCGTTGGGGCTGGGTGGCTTCCTAGCCCACCAGATGGAGACTGGGGCCTCAGTGCCCGGCTGCCTCCCTGGAGGCCCCCAGGGGAACCTTGGCTCAAGCATCCTCCGGGCTTCCGGGTCCAGTGGAAACGCCCAGCACGCAGGGGCGCCCTCTCAGCAGGAACAAGAGCGGGGACCGCAGGGCACCCATCACCTGAAGCTCCCTCAGAACTCGCCCACTTCCAGAAGCAACTGCCTCAGGCAGCTGGCAGGGGTCTACCCTGGTCATCTGTTCTTCAGTCACCGGTCTGAGGAGGACGCAGCTGAGCCTCTCGCCCCTGTGGTCTCTATCTCTCCAAAATGCTACACAGCCACAAGACAGGGCCTGAAGTCTGTGGACCTCATGGGTATCCTGGCGAGCCCGGTGGTGTGGCGCCTCCGTGCCATGGAAGCTGTGCTCTGTCGATGCCGCTGGAGGAGCATGGCAGCCAGCCCTCCCACAAAGGTCTGCGACACCAGTGCCTGTGGCCGGAGCTACCTGCTTCAGGCACTGGTGTCCAGACGGCCGTGCCTGGCCCCCAGACCCTGCCCCTCCACTGGCCTGAGGGATCCCTCCTTGCAGTGTGAGTGGAGCCCACCAGAGTCCTGGGCGAGAAGGCCCTTCAGCCAGGGGGAGCCCTTCCCTGCGCTGCCTCGAAGGTGCCTGGGCCCTCCCTCTGGGCTGGCTTTAGCCCACGTGCTTTCCCTGATGGAAGCGAGCCAAGCCCTTCAAGGCCCTGAGCACCTGCACAAGCCACAGCACGCCACCAGCCACAAGGGGCCATGGGCCACGGACACAGGAGGCCAGGCAAGTGGGGCTGTGCCCCTTCCACTGAGAACACCGGTGGCTTGAGGCTAGAAGCCTCTCCCAGCTATGACTGAGAGGTCCAGGGCCCAGGGGGAGTTCTGCAGCCTCACCTCCCTGGGGGCCCAAACATGGCTGAGGTCCACTCCCACCACCCACACACAAGGACACCCCGGGTCGGCCACAGGGCTCTGGACATCCAGTCCTGGTCAGAGCCCCCATCTCCAAAACTCTTAGCCCCTTCCTCCAAATCACACAGCTGCTCTACTTGACTGTCATGTGACAGCCACTGTGGCTGCTCCTCCCCACACCCACCAGTCACCTCCTCCCCAGTCACCCGTCACCTCCTCCCCAGTTGCCCGTCACCTCCTCCCCACACCCACCCATCACCTCCTCCCTAGTCACCCCTCACCTCCTCCCCACCCTCACCTGTCACCTCCTCCCCACAGTCACCCATCACCTCCTCCCCACGCCCACCCGTC